AAGCTACGCTAGTACATTTGTACTGATATTTAACACATGAAATGTTCAGGTAGCATATTGACACGTGTGGAAATGTGAGCAATAAAGGCAGGGTGCCTGGCTGATGCAGTGTCCCTGGACTGATTCTTAATCCCTGTGGTTTTGCAGAAGATTAAAACAATGGGGATCAGTGCCATTGGGGATGCAGCCCATCTGCACTGCACTGCAAAGCTAGTTCCTCCCTGCTTTTACCCTTTTACCCTTTCTCTTTTCCTCTTTTAAAATGTTACTGCTCAGTTGTTCCATAGGAGCCTGTTGCAGTGCCACCTCATTGATCACAGCTGCTTAATTTCCTGTTTCTTCAGCAGTATTTAAAAGCTTTTTTTTTTACTATTTTGCTAGGAAATGAGTAGATAGTTTCATGCTTTGCAATGGAAAGTGGCTTTGTTAGTGTATGCTCTTGTTTAATATGGCAAAACAGCAGCTGCACAGGAGACTGTCATAACTAAATAGCATGCCTTCATTTGGCTAAACAAGCCTCTGCCCTACCTTCTGTCTCAAGGGTTGCTTCCAAGGAAGAAGAAAGGTTTTCCTCAGATCTGAACCCCAGCTCAAAATGTGACATAAGAATGCTCACAATGAAAGGCTGGTCTGTTGGTTTTCCACAATGCTGACCTTGCAGCATTGCTGCAGTATAGAAAACCAGGAAGAGCAATAATACCTTGCTGCAGCTGCAGTCCTTTAAAAGGGAAAAAGTTCTTGGTGCACAAATACAAAAAGTCTTCTCTTATAGGAAAAGTATTAATCAACTGTCTTCTGAAATATTTTTGCACAGTGATGCAGTCTGCTATACTGATAGTGATGTTCTTAGTGTACTCTAAGGTTTTGCTTTCCTTTTTTTAGGAGAAAGGAGTTGCTTTTGCACCATTCAAGTAAAGACTGCCTGATGTTTAACAGGCTGTTGTAATCAGGAGATATATAGTAATCTAATAACAACATTAAAATCTCACAAAGGCATCTTTTCAAAAGCAAGTAATTACGGCCTGATAATAAAAGGTTATGTGGCCAAATTGCCTTCAGTGAAAGATGTAAATATGTTCTCTGCTGACAGAACTTACACCAAAGAGTTGTAAGTGAGGTCTCTGGGTAAAAAAGTAGTTTGGATAGTTTTCTGTTATAATTCCTAGGCATCTGGCAACATTGTGTGGCATTCTTTCATACCTCTGTTTTGAGGATTCCTAAGAGAAGAGGTAACTGAGAACTGACAACAACTAACAAAAAGGAAATTTTGAAAAATTATCGTACTGATTTCAAGAAGTGGGATTGTGCTGCTTAAAAAGTAGGAACAGGAGTATGTGTACAGCAGAAGCTGCAGTTTCAGCAGTGCAGCTATGCCCAGAGAGGGAGTTAAATCTAGAACTGTGCAAGCATGAGCTCTGTGAGCCTGTAGATGAGCACAGAGAAAACAGCTTGTAATGTTTTCAGGGTGGATTTGTTCCTCCCAGCAGGGTGAACAAACAGCAGTAATTCCACAGGTAATTTGGCTGTGAATTAAAAATCATTTATTGTACAGCAGCACAAAGAACTGAAAAGATTCATTGTAGAAAACTTGTTCAGACAGAGCACTCAATTTTTATTCACTATTTTTCACGAGTATTGGCTTCTCTTCAAAGACACAGGGACAAACAAAAACTGATTTATTAAGAAAAAACCCTCTATAATTAGTATTTACTGTCCTCCTGCTAGATATGTCTCAAGGCAAACAGTCAACAGAAGATAATTCTTTTCTCCTTGTCCCTTTGCATCCATGTTTCCAGTAGCAGGAGTGGTGCTTTTTGAGGGGTGTCTGGCTGCAAGTAGTTGAGCAGTTAAGTGCTTTTATTTTTCTGTCTGCTGTTCTAGGCAATTTAGGCAATGGTTTGCACTACTAGTGCATGGTGGAGCATCATCTGCCTCTTTTGTTCAAGCTGCAGGAGTCATTGAGGTGGTCTCTGTGACTGTCTCTTCTGAGATGCTGGGTAGCAGGAGGCAAAGCCCCTCTTTAATTGAACACTCCTTCCTGGGTGGATTGGGAGAGTCAGGATGGAGCCCTGCACAGCTCAGCCATTGCTCTGGACATGGGAGCTTTGAGCTGAGTATGTGGTGAGGGGCTGTGCCTCTCCCCTTGCTATTAGCATGAACCAAAGGAGTGCCTTTCTCCTGTGGGCATTTTGAATTGACTTAATGGAATTGTCTTTATTTACTTTTTCCATCAAGCAGGAACCAATTATTAATGAAATAAGAAATTGTGATAAATATTAGAGATAGTGCTAATAGGCCCATGAGACATTTTCTGTCTGCACTGAAATGGAGAAGTAGAAAGGAGGTTTGGTAGTGAAAATAATAACTTTTTTTTTGTTTTATTTTGCTGGTCCAGTATAGGAGTTACAAAGTTAGCTGTCTGAAATCAGGTACATACATATTCTGACCGTATTCAGATCCATAAATAGTTAAGGCTTTCCTCCAGATTTTGTTTTCATCTGTGAGAAAATAGGTGAAGTTTATAAAATTGTGGCTTTTTATGGTATTTATTATATTTATATACCCATGAATTTCCCATACTTTTGGAAAAAAAGGTCTAAGTCAGTAAAGTCCTGATGACTACATTTGGCAGCAGTGCTGTGCCTTTTGAGAACCTGAGTTTTGGGTAATGGCTTTTCAGCTTGGGGCATACATTCCATGAACCAGTAGCTTTCAGGAGTTGCTCAGTGCTCTAGTTCTGATAAAAAGTGATGGATGTGTCTTTTTGGTCCTGTTGTGACACTCAGCCATAAGCCGGGTTTGCTGTTGGACTGTCTGGGTTTGTGAGTGATGGAGTGGTAAACTTGAAAAACTTCTACGTTGGCAGCAGCTACGCTGGCATTTCAGATCCAGCTTCTTAATTCTTAATTTTGCCTACCAAAGGACTTGTGATCATTAGAGAGAGCAGCAACTGGCCTGAACCAGTGTGCGTCAGAAAGATACACAGCTGGTCATATTGGTTGTGCAGAACAGGAAACTAGTGATGAATAGAGGAGAAGGAACTGCTGGTGTTTAGTCTGAAATGGCTGCAGGGCTCAGCAGGATGAATGCACAGCTTATCCAGGTCTGTCCAAGATAAAGCAATACTTTATACTTAATGTATTTGGCCAACCAGCCAGGAAACACTGCATAAAATTTGTCATTGGTTCTTAAATGTAAGCAGTGATGAAATCCCTCCACAGAGAACGGATATCACTCACTAATGGATTTTGCCGCCCCAAAGAGTAATGACATTTAGGTCATTCATGCCCATGGTGTTGTGTCATCATTAGAAAAACGCTGGAGGAAGGACTTTCTTTTGTGAAATGTCTGACATTCACAGACATTAATTTTAGGCAGTTGGATGATGGTTTTTACATTGTTGATGAGGAAAATTTCATGCATCTGGCTGAATTTCTTTGAACCAACAATTAAGGAACCCCAAGATACTGCAGAGGAGTCTAACTGCTAGTCTAACTGAATGAAAGAAGATGCAAAGAAGTCTTTAACCTGTTCTTTGTAATCTCTTAGTTACAGGAAGGAAAAAAAAAGACTGGTTTTAGTGCACAACTTTTAGCCTAGTTCTAGAAGGTGACAGCACTTTTAGCAGCTGTTTTCATCAGCATACCAGGTTAAATAAAGGGCTCTAAAGTGCAGGAAAATTAATCAGAGATATTTATGGGATCTGGAAAGCTATATTCTTTTTCTGGCTAAACTGATTGTTTTTAAACAAAAACTGGTTTTCATATTTTTTTTTTTCTTTTAAGTAAATTTTTAAGGTAAACAGAAAGCAGATTTTGATAATGTGAGCTGTTCTTATGTTTAGTTCCTTCTTACATTGCTTGTAGGAGGGAGGTATGTGTATAATTCATTGTGATTTTTTTAGTGCCCATAAGAAAGCAGTGTAGCCACTAGCATATTAGACATTTTGATTAAATCTCCTTTCTTCGTGCAAAGACATGTGCAGGGACACTAATGTGACTTTCAATTTCCTTAATTAAGCCCTTCACTGCTTAGATGTTCTTCATAGAGAGACCTGTGAATATGAGAGACAATCACATGGGCAGAACAACTAGTCTGAGCTTTCCCTTCCAGCCTGAGGTACACCAGACTGTTGAGGGTGTATAGCAAGACAGGGAGTTGAGGCTTTTGCCCTTTCTATCACTGGGAAAGTGCTTTCCTTCTGAAGTAGTTAGTCAACTGTTTGGAGGATCCCAGGGTTACATATGCACTGGCTATGGGTACTTTAATCTGATTGTTTGAGGCTGACTCCAGAATCCCTCTATTATGAGAGCAGCTTAGTGAACTGGCAGTATTATCTTTCTGCTGTGTCCTAATGTGGCCAAAAAAGTAGAAGTGTAACTGTTTTTTTGTGGGTTTGGGTTTGTTTTGGTTTGGTTTTTTTTTGTTTTGTTTTTTTTT